TTCCCCCAAAGGTATAAACTCCAATTCTTGTCTAATGGAAAGTTGGAAACTGTTTTCCATTCATGCAAACCGTGACTCTCATCGTAAGGCGAGCTTGTCTACAGACTTAGAACTCGGGTCTTGCCTCAGAAGGAACGTTTCACCCCAGAGTATAAATTCCAATTCTTGTCTAATTAGAACTATAGTCCGTTAATATAGACTGCGACTCTCGTCGTAAGGCGAAACTTTCCTCCGGTAATATAAATCATAACTCTCGTCCCAAGCCAAAAACTCCATGGGAGTATAATATTGAATTATTATCCGACAGTTGTGTGTCGTCCAAAAGGAAACAAGGCACTCTAGACGTAGACACAAAGGACTTCTTTGAAACAAGCTGTCCTTAATCACTCACACCAGTCAGCCTGCTCATTGTCTTGAGAAAGAAATACTAATCCACTCCAGTCCTCTTCACACCTGAAGTTAACATCTAGCTCCACCGCGCGGTCGATGAGGAGCCATCAGTTGAGGATCAAAAACGATCCGCAGCTAAGCTCAAGGATGAGCGTGAGGCATACGCGGCACGAAAGAATTACAGAGCTACGTCTCGAGCTGGCAAGGAAAAAGAGGTCGAGCGCATATCCGAAAGCTCATCGGGCGGGTCATTTAATGAGGATGTGATTGTGGAGACTATGGATCTTGCCCGAGCTAGCTCTGAGCATAAGGATTGGTTCACGGAGATGGTGAAGTCAGCGGAGGCGGAGGACAATCAGGGCCAGGAGGTCGAAGAACCTAATCCCAAGAAGCTGAAGTTCTCTCCAGAGGGCACTACTAAGAATTGTACTACCCGCACGACGAGCCGTACATGATATGCTTGCTGTTATCTTAACAAGTTCGAGCAGAATAGGATAGACCTTGTAAAATAAAGCTTCATTGCGAGAAAAGGCATTCCTAGTGTCTAAATACGAGGAAGCTCTCTAGGCAATAGATAAAAGTGAACAAGGGCGCGAGGACTGACTGTCCTTGTCAAAAGGTGGGAGTATTGGCCAGGAGTGGCCAAGAGAAGTATTTTCTGGGGAAACAGCGAGCCTCTCGTTTGTATAACAAAGACATTCTCAAATGCTGTACAATAAAAACATAAATGGGCACAGAAATAATAAAAGAAATAGTAAGGTAAATAATGACCAGAAGAGAAGAGATAAAATGTTGTTTGCTGTTATTATTAATAATTGGAATGTCTGTACTCGAGATTAAAGTGCGGAGGTGGAATCGGATATTAGGTGTGAGCCTGTAAGGTTTGATTAGTGTTGGAAATGGAATGAGATTGAAACCGTCAAAATTCGAGAATTGATTTTATCTGCAAATAAGTTAGTCTTGTTGCTCAAGAAGTCTGGGTGACTGTCCAGATTAACAAGACAGGATAATGGACGGTAGCATTACGAGTGACATTGTTCTTTTAACCCTTATCCTCTTGTATTCAAAGTAGACATAGAATAATCGGGACAGTCCTACTGAGTTGAAAGCATTCCTATGTTCATGATCTTCTGAACAGAAATTATCTGTACAGACTGAGACTGGGAGCAGAGTTTCTGTACCCTCTATTGCAGGCCTGGAAAGGCCATTTGGTCTTGACGCTTGAGACAGGTGCCTTGAGGCGGGGGAGTTCCACCTGCCACAGTTAATTACCTTTTTGTCTCATGCATATGGCACCAACTTAGTACAAAGAGAACCACAGCACTCGCAAGCATTTCCGCATCCGGTTCGGGCCAGCTCGTGTTGCTCGCGAGTCGGCTCCCGCAGACCGAGGAAACGCTGACGAGTACAGTCAAAATTCGATAGCGATTGAACGATAGCCGTTAAGTTCCGAGCAATTTTGGCTTGATTTAACGATAAGCTCTCTAGAACGATTATCGTTAGGATTCTCAGTCCCGAATCGATAATTTGTAAGGGATATCGTTTTGAATACCTCCAATCCTGGGAGGAAACGCGCGGATTCAGTAAGGATTCAGAGCAAATTAAAGACTAACCACTAGAGGGTTAAGAAAAGTAAGCCCAAATAATCTTCTAGGCTTAGCGAAATTTGCACGTGACCCCTGATACTACGATACCTCGATATATCGTTAGAAAAAAAGTACAAAATCAGTATCGTTATAGCGAGTTTTGACTGGTAGAACTTTCTTGTACGTAAGATGCGGTTCGTTAAATCAAGCATTCGGAGAGCTGGTCTTGGAAGTCTCGGCGGGCACTCATTCCAGCGCGCCGAGACCGGAACTTCTAAGTTCAAGCTCTAACCCTGTTTTGCACCACAACCCCGCCAGAGCCCGTCACAGCCCGCCACCACTTGTCGCCCGCTCCTTGGCGCCGTCCCCGCCTGCCAAACTGCCAATTAAGGTAGGTATGCACCCCAGAAATTAGCACGTGGATGAATTTAACTTCCTTTCCCTCCTTCCTTTCTGGGACAGCTTCAGCGCTTGACGATGTGGCGGCTTTGTCGCTTCAACCCGAGGCTTTTGGCTTCAATAATACAAAATCCCACAAATTGGTATCAAGTTCCCTCATTTTTTGGATCCAGGTAGCCGGGTCTTCAGAGAGGGATCAAAATATCGTTCGGAGATCAGCAAGTCCACCCTGCCTCCATCTTTCCCACGAGCTCTACCGGTTGCTGCTTCAGGGTTAGACTTGTGATTCCTTGCGAGGTGACACGAGAGGATCGACCCCAGCATCGACTTTTCAATTTATTTTGCCTGCATATTTACCATCTCCTCCTGTTATTCAGACAAAAGGAAGGTGTATAAGTTATCGCCTCAGCGCTTTGCTTGCAAAATATCATCCATTTTCAGCACACCCGAGTGAACGAGGCACATTCAAGATTCAGAATGGCTGCCAACGAGTCCGACGAGGTCAAGAATGGAGCAATCCAGGCTATGGAACCTCAAGATCCCGAGGCACCTTCTGCAGAGGTGTCTGGGAAGAGGCAGTCTCTTTCTGACATATTTACTATCGTGAGTTTGCAACCCTCTTGCTCCCAAACTCAGCATTCCATTCATTTGAAGAGCTATGCTAATTATGAATAGTTTGCTTCTGGGGCAGCTCTCGTCTCCGATGGATACTTCAACAATCTCATGACCATGGTGAATGTCATCCTCTCCGAGGAGTATCCAAAGCAGTACACGGCCTCTGTCAAGACACGAGTATCGAACGCCCTGCTTGTAGGCGAAATCTTTGGTCAGGTGGTTGTAGGCCTCACGTGCGATTACCTGGGTCGCAAATTCGCCATTATTTTGACAACCCTTATGATCGTTCTTGGCGGAATTCTGGCAACGGCATCTTCTGGCAAAACCATTGAAGGGTAAGAACAAGATGCAGGAGATAGACCAGGCTAACAGACCCCAGAATGTTCTGGATGATGACCGTTGCTCGAGGAATTATTGGTTTTGGTGCTGGTGGTATGTTCAACGACCTCAACAGACTGTGACCAGCACTGACTTGCGTCCAGGAGAATATCCTGCCTCCTCAACCAGTGCCTCTGAAGCTGCGAACCAACACACACTCAAATCACGTGGACCAATTTTCATCCTTGTGACGAACCTTCCTCTCTCATTTGGTACACCACTTGCAGTTTCGATTTTTCTGATCGTCTTCTCTGCCTGCCACCAATCACATTACAGCACTGTCTGGAGAGTCTGCTTTGGTTTGGGCTGCCTGCTTCCTCTTTCCGTCTTCTACTTCCGAGTTCGCATGCTCAACAGTGTTCTCTACCGTCGCGGGGCCATCAAGCGCAACGTACCCTACAAACTGGTCTTGAGATATTACTGGAAAAATCTCATCGGGACCTGCGGAGCTTGGTTCCTTTATGACTTTGTAACATTCCCCAACGGAGTATTCTCCGGCACGATTATTGCCTCCGTAATCCCATCAACCACAAAGGATGTGATTACCAAGACCGGAGAATGGAACTTGCTTCTGGGAGCCCTGGCTCTCCCCGGTGTCTTCCTCGGTGCATATCTCTGCGATCGACTTGGACGCAAGAACACCATGATGTTAGGTTTCTCCGGTTACCTAGTGTTCGGATTGATCATCGGATTATCTTACGACAAGATCACAAAGATCGTGCCTCTGTTCGTGGTCTTCTACGGTCTGATGCAGAGTTCTGGTAATCTTGGACCAGGAGATATGCTCGGTCTCATCTCCTCGGAAACCTACGCAACTTCAGTCCGTGGAACATGCTATGGTCTCTCAGCTGCTATTGGCAAGACCGGTGCGGCTATTGGAACACAAGCCTTCACTCCGATTCAGCTCCACCTTGGCAAGCGATGGACATTCATCGTTGCTGCTATTGTTGGCGTGGTCGGGGTCTTGGTTACGTACTTCTTCGTCGAGAATCTCAATGGCGAGGACCTCGCCGAGAGAGACAAGAAATTCAGGACCTACCTGGTCGAAAATGGCTGGGATGGGGAGATGGGAGAAGACGATCTTCAAGCGCTTGCGGATGATGGCCAAGTTCCGGCCGAGGGAATCGTCGTTCCAAACAAAGTGCTCGCAGAGAAGAAGTGAGAGTATAAGTAATCAGGTATACCCGGCTAGGATACCAGTCGCTTGGTTCTAAGTAGTTGCAGAGCCTCTAGAGATCCCACACGGGGATTTTTGATATGTGAGAGAATCCGTCAAGGCGCCAATACAGAGAGTTAAATTTTCTAGTGCATGCTTCTCGACTTCTGACTGTGTTGCACATCAATCCTACACAACTTATTTTTACACTTGATTACCCTTTTAGATTCCGGAGCAGTTCTCTCACCTTGAACCTACAAACACAGCACAATACTTTAAATTATTCAAGCAGCACTACTTTCAAGCCTGAAATCTTGGTCGTCGGTAATCCCTGCAAAGCCCTATGTGGGTCGCCCTGTCGCACCCCACCCCACACACAATCAAAAAATTTCCTCTTCTCTTAATAGTTAGAAATAAGAATAATCCCTGCATCAATCACCTAAAAAGTGTTTGTAGTGTGGTGGTTAAACATCCAAGGACAGATGGCCGAGCTGGTTATGGCGCCAGGTTAAGGTATTTCTTAACACAGTTTCCTGGTCACGAAAGTGGCGTGGGTTCGAGTCCCACTCTGTTCATTTATTTTTTTTGTCTTTTTTTTCTTTGGGTGATTTTTTTGAGCTTGGTAGGGACTCAAAGGATGGTGATGAGAAAGGGGCCAGTGGTGGGGAAAGGTCAAATCTTTTGATGCAGGTGTGCTAATCTCTGCCAGAAGGTTCTTCGTAAGTATCTATACAGATATAGTACACATGCAACCAATTCCCCAATAACCTCAACATCTTACACATAACTCCCGGCATCGACCCCGAATCCCAAACGAGGTACTAAAAATACACCATACATGTCCAGCTTATCCCCACCTCACCACCTCAAAAAGTTATCAACCCCCTACTTATCCTCAACAGTCACCTCCTTTCCCTCTTCCATCCTCCTCGCCCTCTCCTCCGCCTCCCTCTCACTCCTAAAATCCCTCACTACCCTCTCCCTCTCCCTCTCCCTCCCCTTCTCCCCAACGCCATCCTGCGATCCCCACCCCTCCTCAATCAACCTCCCCCTCCTCTCCGCTTCCCTCCTCACTTCCCTCCCCCGCGACGTGATGCCGAACGCAACTATCACCACAATAAAAATACCGACGAAGCCGAACAGGATGCAAGTTTGTGTTCTGAGAAGCGGATGTGTGAGGGAGAGAGGGGGTTCGTTGTTGGACATTTTGTAGTTCTTTTGGGGGGTTTTCTGGGGAGGTTAGGAAGGGGGTGGGAAGTGGCTGTGGTGGTAACTTACAATATAATACAAATTTTTCGTGATGTTTACGGAAGGTTGAGATAGATTTCTTCGCGTCGTGTATTGTTAGAGGGGAAGAAGGGCGTGAAGTCCTCTTATTCCACCCCTTCAAACCTCATTCCGTCGCTTGGAAAATTAAGCAGATCGCCTTACCTAAAACACATGTTCTATTTCTCAATTAAGGACATGATTATCCCTCGTTTCGCATTCATTGGTATGGAGAAATGGTGCCACGCGACGGATGATGTAATTTTATAGCCGTGACGTCGGAGGGGGCAGGGGTCGCTGCGGGGTGTGGTGGTGGAACACAGTGTGATTGGTCTGGTTGTGGCTGGGAAGATTTGGTCACGTGCTTCAGGGGGATCTCGTCCAGGACCAGAGGATAGAAGTAATTAATGAACCTGTGAAAATAACAAGAAGATATTCAAGAACTTACTCTTCTTTATCAGTTTCTGAAGAATGGTGTAAATTTTCGTGCTAATGGAACGTGGTGGGACGGATTGGCAGACCCCCATGAATAGGGGCTGTTTAGCGAGCTATGAGCCCCTTTCTCACGAGTGCGTGACAAATATATATGCTAATCTTCTCATTATTGTCCTTAAACGGGTGCTATTTTCCCAAAAAGACTGCTGTTTAATGAAATATTCTCCTCCAGTGAGAGTTACCAATCCTGACTCAGCTCCACATTCAAGTAGAGGAGCCCGGCTGAGCGTTGTTCGCAATTCGCTTAACGCAATTTCAGGGGCTGCTTGACTACGGCGTAACAACCATTTTGGGCCGAGCCTTGTACTTCGAATTTGAACTACATGTAATATTATTTGGTATAGAATTTCTTTGGATTTTGTATTTCTTCATCATACTTAAAGTATGTAAGGTCACGTTAAAGTTGAGTGTGAGTACTATTCTATTGCATTTAAGCCGACTAACTCGGCTACGTTTGAAAGTGACGCATAAATGACAACTAAGAATGAATAATTTTTGATAAAAGCCCTGTAATTTGAACGTCTACGAAGATGAACCTGCCAATTAGCCTCCTTAAGCTTCTCATGCCCAGAATCCGTCACCCAACAACAAAATCAAGGGAATTGGCAAGGGAAATCACCACGGAAGGTAAGCACTCTGATTCGATTATCTCTGTATATGAACAATGGCTAATATTATGATTACAGAAGCAACACCTGCCACGATGTCAACCCGTTCTCATCTCCTCGCCCTACCTCCCGAACTCCATCTCGAGATCTTCAAACACCTCCGCCCTGTCTCTTCGACATGCCTCGGCCTCACTTGCAAGGAATTCTACCGGATACACAAGCAGCTCCATGGCATGGTTGGATTGCACGAACCCATAATAATCTGCCAGCCACGAAGATATCCGTCTTGGAGATTCACTCGGCTTGGCGCGTTGTTAACTAAATGGGCTGGTCCGAAATTCTATTTCCATCGTTAAAAGGACGTCAAATTCACCAAGAAGCCAAATGTCGAACAGGAAAGCAGAAAGGAGAGCGATGATGGAAAGGAGGAAAAATTTGATGTGGAAAGCTTGCAAGAGGTTATGCGCTTACTTTCGAACAAATATTAGAGGAAGAGGTCTCTGATTTTTGCTATGGTACACGAGAGCAAATTAATCAATACTGCCTTGCTGTGCCCTCACATTCACTTTGTCCGTTGCCCAAAAATTTGAAGCGTAAACGACTATCAAAAGTGAAGCAAAGCCGTTAGCGAATCGTATATAGAAAACTCGAGACGCGAACTTCCTTTCCAATTCCTCCCTCCTCACAACAATCTCGAGGGTTTCAGCGAAGCAGTCAAGATGGAATGTAGGATCCTGTTTTCTAATCCAAAACAATCTCTACGAGACCAGTCTCTAACATCTTCTTCTGCAGCACTTTTCCAACCGATGAACCCGACTCATCACCTCAGCTTCACTTCGACCACCACCACCACAACCAGATCATCCAAGTCTTCCTCGAAGACGAGTACACCAGAAGGTACCGAGTGATCTCCTATACGAACCAACCGGCAGCTAACTTACCTCCACAGCCCCATGCCCCCTCCTCACCCTTGACCGCAACCTCCAACTCAAGATCTTCAAATACCTCGACCCAGGAAGCTCAACCTGTCTCGGCATCACCTGCAAGCCCCTCTACAAGATCCACCGCGCACTCCACGGTTCCGTCCCACTCAACACCCGCATCTGGTTCAACGACTCCTGGGGAAAATACTACTACAGTCTCGGACACTACCTTGCCGCGTGGGCTGGTCGCGACACGCACTATCTCGACTATAACTACAAAGAGCGCGGTGTATGCAAGTTCGTCAAGTGGCCGAAGCAGAAGACGTCTGACTGGATGGCCGACGAAATGGCGTGTGCTTGGTACAGGATGAAGAGGCAGTGTCTGCTGAAGTTGAAGGGTAAGCCGAAGAAATTGAGGATTGTGGCAAAGGTTGAGTGGGAGGTGACGAGCGAGGAGAGAACTTCTGAGGCAGAAGCTGCCATATTTGACTGGGATGGGGAAATGGTGCCATATACGCTGGCTTGAGGAATCGAATGCGATGGCTGCTAAATAGAGGCTAAATGAATGAGAAATAGAGGACAACGCATTTTTTTTTCCGTCTCTCTCCATTTTGAAAGTCTTTCGAGTTTCGACTACTGATTCTGATTGCTCAATCCCGTAGAATGTTAGACCAGGATCCTTCCAGACGGCCCTCTAGATCTTGAACGTTTCAATCCTACTTAACAGGCCGTGACTTCCAATTGACCGGATAGTGATATGTCACCTAAAATCTCATGCCAAGATGGAAAGAAAGCATGTTCCACTGAATTCAGCGTCCAAAGTATCGCCAAAACATTATTTCCGATCCTATTTGCAGTATGAACCTGTCTGGCTTTGATATTGAGGTAGGGACTGCTACCACGCGATGCACTTTGACATATCCATGGCGAGAGAAACGACGAAGATGCGGTAAGGAGCAATCCACTTTCAAAAAGGCGATGTAAATCAATCCTTTCAAATAAGAAAGAAATCTGACATCTAGGAGAAGAATTCCGTTTCTATGTTCGAGAAGCAAGCGATAAAGATGACACGAGGTATGGAGAAAGGAAGGAGGGTAGTACGTAGACATTGGCAACTGCTGGCGGTGAACCGAACTCCGCAGTGTCGAATATCTGATTCGACCTCATGGTGTAAAGTTTGAATGTAATAATAGTTCGTTTCAACGATAATTTTAGCTGAGGTTTTCATTAGCCTAGTAACAGTTAGTAAAATGGTGGCTGTGGAGCCGGGACGGTTAGGCTAGCAATCTTCCCATGTCTGGTTGGACAACATCGAGAATACCATTTGGTTAATAAGTAATGAGCAAGGAAACTCCCAATCTATACTCAATAAAATGCTAATAGGATTTATATTTTAAGGTGGGAAAAGAAACTGCTTTCGGCGAAAGTGAAAAATAAGTTCCTTTCGAGCAATAGCAAAATAACTAGGGGAATGCAAACATTTCATACCCAAAAACTATGCGAGCGGAGGCTCTCTTCAAGACCAAACCAGAAGCAAATAGTCAATCTCCCATATAAAGTCTGAACCGAACTTTTATATACAATTTGGCAAGACGACCATTTAACTCGTCCCTCCAATGATGAAGATCTCGCCTGTCGAGTCACTCGACATATGCGGACTATCTTTGCTATCCCAAGCCAAGCTAGCAGGGCGGGAACAGCTCTTGGGACAAGCTCCATTATTGGCATTGATCATAATATTCACAGCAGCTGTTGTACTGGTGCTGGGGTCGGCGGACTGGCCATTCTTGAATGCGGCGACGGAGAGGCGTATCCATCCTGTGGTGAACGGTCCCTATTTCTTGTTAGAAACACTTGCTGTAGCTGACAAGAAGATTGTTTTTCCATCTGGTATAATTTCGAGGCCGTGATTGAGCTAGGGTGAAGTTAGTTACTGCAAGCAATTTCAGGGGAGGTCTCGAGCTTTACCGAGCCCGGCGTAGCTGTCGCTCACTTCCTGACCTTCTGAAGGAAAGCACATACCGTAGCATCGTTGATCAGAGTCTTGATCGAAGAAGAGTAGACATCAAGAGACCCATTATCAGTCCAGGTAATTCCTAAAACTCCCACTCCACCCTGATGGACAACCAACATATTTCCCAGCGGATCAGACACCACCTCTCTCCCGGAGTCTTGAAGCCCCTCGCCACAACAGAAGACGTATAGCCTCCAAACATGACTGGTCCTGACAGCAGGAGCTACAGCAGGACAAGCACGTATCCCAGCCCCGAGACAGCCCTTGCC